ACACGCGGGACACACGCGCGCGCACCGCACACACGCACGCACGGCCCCTGCACACGCGGCCTGAGCACTCGTGCGCGCGCACCCACGCACGCACACGGGCACGCACGGCCCCCGGGCACCGGGCTCCTGGTGCTCGCCCCCCGCGCAACAGGTGGGCCCCCCGACCGCATTTCCTTCCCCGGGCTCTATGAGGGAAGGAGAACCTCCCATCAGGTCCTAGCTCACAGCACCCACTTGTTAGAGCAGTCTGACGCCCCTCAAATCTTACCCGTCTGTGATTGCTTTTTTTCCAACCACCCCCATGCGGCCAAAAATGGTGTTGGTGTGACTCTGAGGGGCGCTGAGATACCCAGAGCTACTCTCCCTTCAAATAGGCCCGTATTTGAACCTCCACGGCTGGAGAGGCCTGGGCACAGCCTGCAAGAGGGCTCCCACCCCTGGCTGTGTTATTCTCTTTGCTGATCCCAGCATGCTCTGTAGAGGCTGCCTGACAGCTGGGTGAGGTTTTCCCGGCCTCCCCTTACCATTCCCAGCTTGGGCCGGCACCTCCTCCTCCTTTCCCACAGCTCCATGGGCTTGTGCATTTGGGGTGGAGGCTGTGGCACAGGAACCGCCTTTCTGCTCGCTTTAGTCACAGCATGCACGGCTGCATGTGGTGCTCTGCAGTTGGCGAGGCACTTTTCTGCTAAGCCTGAGTAAGCCTCAGGCTGGCCTGGGGGCGGAGGCCTAAATGGAATCAGACCTGTCCACCTGGAAAGAGCCCCTAATTGCCGGTGCAGCAGGACTCAGAGAGGGCTGGCTGGTGGAGGAGGCCTTGGCAGCTGGGAGGACCGGGGGACCCCTGAGGTAGGGCTGTGCTGAGGATCTGCCCAGCCTCTGAGGTGCCATCTCCACCAGCTGAGCTGGCTTCCAGGAGGGTGACTCCCACTGTCTTGTGATGCCTCTGGCTTCAGCATCCTTCTGTTGGAAAGGAATGAAGGGGCTCCCAGCCCTACACCATCCAGCTTCCTCCTGGGCTACTAATGGTCTTAGGGGGCGGGAGACCAACTGCTGGAGTCCCCCAGCCTTGGAGGTGTGCAAGGTTGGGTCAAACAGAATTTGGAGGCTCTGGAGCAAGAGCCAGGAAGTGTGTGTGTGTGAGTGTGAAGGGGGGGCAGAGAGAGATTGATGGAGCAGGGGTGGTGAGATGTTTACCTTGGGCCTTGTAAGTACCTCTCATAGTCTTCGCCTTCCCTTCCCCCCATTGAGATGCCCCTTCGATGAAACTCTTTCCGCTTTCTGGTTTATTTGGTTGTTTCTTATCTGCTTTCCCCACTAGAGAGCTTTCGTCCTGGTCACCACTGTGCCCAGAGCACGGTGGCCAATCAGCAAATATTTGTGCAAAGGGCAGTGAATGCTGGGGGGGGGCAAGGCCCCCTAGGAACTTTACAAGCAGGGCCTCATTGGCTCCTCACCCAGAAGACAGTCCCTCTTGAGGCCACAATGCCCTCTGGCAGGCACCAGTCTTTCAAGGCTCCTTCACTCCTATCTTGAGAGAGATGCATGTCTTTTTCTCGTCTGTCTGTCTTGGGCCTTGGACTGCCAGGATTGGACAGGACAGAGGGGAAGAAACAGAAGGGAAATCAGACTTTAAAGGTTCTGTGTATCTTTAGCGGGGCCGAAGTTTCCGCCACCTAAAAACCTGGAGAAGATTGGATTAGCTCAGAGTTCCCAGTGAGCAGAATTCCTGGGCTCAGGAGCTGGGATGGGGATGGGCAGTGCTGGCAGTAGGCTGCCAGGATTGTGAATCGCTGGGTCTTCGCCTCCCACTTGAACGTTTGCTCTGCTCCAGCAACTGGGGAGGCCGGTGTGCAGGCCACGTGCAGGAAGGGGAGGCTGAGCAGGAGGGTCCCCAGAGCAACGAGGAAGAGAAATGCTGGGTGTGAGAAGCCGGTTCTAAATGGCTTCTGTGGTTTGCCCAGAGAGAGCATCTTCAAAGGGGTTGGCCTTGGCATCTGATCTAAATAAGGCCTGCGCCTTTCGGGCAGGCGAGTGCTGGGGGGCCTTGTCAGCTTCTTCCTCTGCCAGCCATAGACAACGCCCCTGGCTGCTTGGGCCTGTGTCTACCCCAGTGGGAATGGCGGGCAGGCTGGGGAGTGTGTACCTGTGTGAGTGTGCTGGGGCCTGGGAGGCGGGTGGGGTTCAAGCCCCTTTGATCTGCCAGCCTGGTTGGAAGCAGAAAATTCACCTGGCCTCACGCTGCTCGTGCCTTCCTACCTCCTGCAGCTGGCGTTGGGGGTAGGGCGGGGAGGAGGCTGTTTGACTTGGCTCCCTCCGCTGGCTTTGCCCCAGCTGCCTCCTCGCCACGCCCTTGCCCTGCCAGGAACCCCAGGCCTGAGATCTGGGACTGCTTCTTCAGGGTGCCAGACCTCCTTTCCCATCTCTGAGGAGAGCTGCCCACCTGGAGCCTTCTAGAACTTGTGTCCAGGAAAACCACACTCCAGGCGGTTCACCCTCCCATACCGAGAGGCGCCTCTGACTCCCAACAGATGTCCATGCCTGTCTCCCCCAGATCATCGCATCCTGGAGCTGACCATGTGCTGAATGTCTCCACCCCTCTCCTACCCCTAGTCCCGGAAGGGACCTGCCAGCCCACACAGCCCCAGGCGATGCCAGTGTGGAGGTAGGGCACCATTTCCTGTGGCCCAGCACAGGGGATCATGCAAAGACACATACTCACATGTGGGTGGGCAGCTCTCCACCCACTCCTTGTCATCCTCAAAAATGTCCTGCACTGCTGGCCTGGGCACATGTACACTCGCTGCTGCCCACAGAGGAACCATACTGAAAGGATGGATGATAGTGACAGTGAGGACTCAGGAAGTACCCGTTATCTGCTGGTTGCTCTGCTATGTCATTATGCCTCCGACCAACCCCCTGGGGGGTATACTATTAGTCCCATTTAAAAGATGAAGAAGCCAGCCGGGTATAGTGGCTCATGCCTGGAATCCCACAACTCTGGTAGGCTGATGTGGAAAGATTGCTTGAGCTCAGGAGTTCCAGACTAGCCTGGGCAACATAGCAAGACCCTTGTCTCTACAAAAAAATTTTTTTTAAAAATTAGCTGGACATGGTGATATGTTCCTGTAGTCCCAGCTACTCAGGAGACGACGATGGGGGGATTGCCTGAGTTCAAGAGGTTAAAGCTGCAATGAACTGTGATCATGCTGCTGCATTTCAGCTTGGGCAACAGAGTGAGACCTGGACTCAAAAAATGAAGAAGCCAAGGATTTCAGTTGCTAAAATTCTTCCCACGAGGCTGGGCTCCATGGCTCAGCTTGTAATCCCAGCACTTTGGGAGGCCGAGGTGAGTGGATTGCCTGAGACTGCGGGTTCAAGACCAGCCAGAGCAACTTGGCGAGATCTCATATCTACAATAAATCAAAAATTAGCTGGGTGTGGTAGCGCGCGCCTGTAGTTCCGGCTACTTGGAAGGCTGAGGCAGAAGGATCACTGGAGCCCAGCAGGTCCATGCTGGGATGGCGGTAAGCATGCCACTGCACTCCAGTCTGGGTGACAGAGTGAGATTCCAACTCAAAAAAAAAAATTCTTCCAAGCGCATCTGTAGCCCTACTCTTTCCTCTGCTGCAGGGGTTCTCAGCCCTGCCTCACCTGGGGCCAGTGATGCATCCTGTCCTGTGTGTTGTAGGATATTGGCAGCACCCCTGGCCTTACCATGCCCCTAGTTGTGACCACCGCAGATGTCTTCAGACGTTGCCAACACCCCTTGGAGACCCAGCCACCCCAGCTGAGAACTGCTGATATATGGCATCCGGCAGGGAGGAAGAGCCAAGGTGGGCCTCCAATGATGCTGAGAGCCGCTGGTCTCAGAGCCGAGGAAAGGGAAACTGAGGTGCTCCTTGGTAGACAGGAAGGAGTGGGCATCCTGGAGCCTAGGAAGGACCCAGCTCTGCCACTTACTGGTTGTCTGGACCTGTAGCTGCTTATTTGATTTTTCTAAGCCTCAGTTTTCTTATCTGGAAGATGGGGCTAAAAATAGCGCCTGCCTCTCCGGATTGGTAGTTTGGACAGCATTTTGCTCAGCACATGGCTTGTAGTCAACTATTCTCAGATGTTAGTTGTGGCGTTATTATCAAACCCGGGCAGCCGATAGTGAGTTCTGGGCATCTTGTGGCCAAATTACCAGAAGCATGTGCAGGATTGGCCTCTCCGCTTAGAACACCCTTAGGGGGTAATTTGCTTGGGAGTTGGGGAAGAATATCCCAGATGGCCCTCCTGGAGGAGGAGGTGGGAGAACCATACTGCAGAGAATGCCAGGAAGAAGGCTGGGTGTCTTCATGCATTTTACCAGTATTTATTGAGCACCTGCTGTGTACTTCTCCCACCACCCTAGTCTCTATCCTGGGCTCTTTCCCACTCGTCCTTGGAGAGTCGGAGTCTGTTTCCATAAGACACCATCTCTTGTATCCTGGGCCCAGGTCCGAGTGTCCACTAGGCCTGTTCAGGGATCTGCCTTCTCCGCCATGCAGGCAACTGCATCCAGCTCTCCAGTAGGCAAGATCTTGGCACAGGTACCAAGTGCCATTTGGTAATAGGCCTTTGGGCCCCTCCCCTGAGGGGTTAATTAAATCTTTACTCCACAAACACTTCCTGTTCCCCTTCTGAGAGTGAGTGAGGATCTGACTGGGCACCGCTGCTTTGGCTTTCCTCTGCTCCTTCTGACACCCGGTCCTAGCAGAATTAGAATCAAATCGAATGTTCTTCAACTCCCTCGATTTGCACGCGAGGGCCAGGACCGTAGTGTGACTGGCTGAGGTCGCACGGTGGTTGGTAGCATTTGAAGCCTGGGATCCGGCCCGCCGCACTGCCTGTTCTGAGTTTGGCAAAACTCCGGGAAACAGCTTCCCCAGTGTTGGTTGGACACCGCTGCCAGCCTCCCGCTCTGTGGGCTGGGTACTTTGTCAACATTTGGAGAACACCGAAGGTGTGGTCTCTCTTCTGGGGTGAGCAAAGGCAGCGCCTGGGAGAGAGGGGGGAGGAAAGACAGAAGCAGCGGGGCCCCACCCCTCCTCCGTCATGCACACGCAGCCCAGCTGTGCAACCAGGACACTGAGGGAGAGACCCCAGTTCTCAGCCAAGCCTCCAGCCTTCCAACAGCCCTTAGACCCCGGGTGGGGTTGTAAACTCCATGTTCAAACAAGGAAACTGAGACTTGGGGGTTTCGAGGAATTAAGTACCTGTTAAAGAGGCCATTCCCATCCCCCCACACACCCTGAGTCTTCTAGCTCCCAATCGATGTGGGTGGCCAGAACTGGCCGCGGTTGCACTCCTGCAGAAGGTGTTCCTAGACACCATGATGAGTGTACAAGTAACAGGGCTTTGGGGGAGGTCTCCTTGGGGGCTGAGATGACATGTTCTTGCATCAGGCAGGGAGAGAGCAGCATTCCTTCCGCCGAGGACAGCCTGCGCTAAGCATCCCAGAACTCCCGCCCCTGGAGTGTCCAGTGAACCAAGAAGGGCAAGGAGTTTTCCCTTCTTAATCTGGGGAAACCGAGGCACAGGGTTCCATAGTAGTAATCCGAGCCTACGGACACCGTCTCCAGGGGTCCTTCCCAGTGGATGTGGGCCCACGGGCTTGCATGTGTGTGCATTTGCACGCATGTGAGTCAGGGCTGACCCTTTGGACAAGCATCTTCTTTGCCCCTCAGTGGCTGGTGGTCTGGATGGTGCTTCTCAGCCTCTCATTTGCCCTCATCTTTCTCAGGAATCTCTGGCAGGAGCCCCTGGGGTCTCTCGGGACTGTGGGGGACATGGCTGTGACCTTCCTATTGGGCTGCCCTCGTGTCATTGTGGGACCTGCGGTTTCCCTGGAGGAAGCCTGGCTCTGAGGGCTGTTAAAGTGCTTATCAAGTTTCGAGTGTGTTTGGTGACAAGCCAGAGGGACTCTAAAAATAGGGTTTGGTTGGGCATGGGCATGGGTAAACTTTCAGGCTTCCCAGTCGTGTCCAAGGATCCCCTCTTTGCATCTTTTGAGTGAGAGGTTGTGCAGGCATCACTAGAACTTGGGGCCTCCTGAGGCTGTACTGCGCTGCAAGCATTTATTAAGCACCTCTTGTATCCAGGAGCCTGGGAGTATAGGCTTTGTCGTCTGTTTTTTATCAACAGAAGCTTTGAAGACAGCTTTTGTTGATAATTGGCTGTAGGGCTTTGGTCAAAGGATGTCCCCTATGTGAGCCTCTGTTTTCTCATCTGTGAAATGGCAATTCGATCACCCGTGGTAATTCGCTGTTGTCTCTAGCTATCAGGTGTGGCGGCAGGCGTAGAGAGAAATCAGATTTTTGCAGCCTTCCCAGAACCTGTAGCCTGATGGGGGAGACAGACAGGGAAATGCGAGTGTAATTCGAAGCAGATCTGGGTCTCAGAGGCTTGGGCAGGTCCAGGACCCCAGGCCTTGGTACTCCTGGTTGTCGGCCCTGGATCCTGCCTGTCCCCAGCCTGGCTGTCCATCTGCCTGTGACCGAGAGGACCTGTGGGGCCCTTCCACAGAAGCAAGCGTATGGTGGGGGAGACAACCATGTTGAAAGCCCCCTCTCTGGCTTACTCAGCCCCTCTGTGTCTGCTGACAGGGGGACCCCATTCCCGAAGAGCTCTATGAAATGCTGAGTGACCACTCGATCCGCTCCTTCGATGACCTCCAGCGCCTGCTGCATGGAGACTCCTTAGGTAAATGGACTCCTTGCCCAGTGCTCTGGTCCTCCTCATAGACCTAAGTGGAGCCAGGAGGGGCAGGGTAGGATGCCTCCTCTCCTCCTTGACACCTGGAGGACTGAGGCCCAAGGCAGCCCAGAGAGAGCCACACCCAGTCAGGGCAGGGCCGAGTCAGCAGACGGGTTGGTACCTGGGGCTTGGGGTGTGTCGGGAGAAGCACCCACGTGTGGCTCGGGCTTGGTGCCGAGGGTGGGGTGCCGGGAGGTGGGCGGG